AACAATTTACAAATGAAGTCCCATAGCTCCTGCTCCCTCCACCGTGTCCATGTGGCCATCACTCCTGCCAGCCCCTGGTCAGAACCGCACACCCTGCTCAGCAACTCCACCTTTCTCCTTGGCCCAGCTCTGGCTGCAGCCTTGCTGAGCACGGGCCATCATCCTGGGAGGATGGAGGAGCTCCTCGGCGGGTCCTCAGACCCTCCTGGGGCTGGCTGGGAGTCGGGACACCCTCCCACCTGCAATCTGCCTCCACAGCCCACGGCTGAGCTCACCACACCTGGCACTACATCCCCTTGGGTGGACGGGGCACCTGTGGCTCATCCAGCTTCCCCTCCTCGATTCCCATGGGTGCCCGCTGCTGCTGCCCTCTCCACACGCCAGATGTGCTGCAGCACCGGTGCTGAGTCCCCTCCACTCCAGCACATGCTGACCAGATGCTGGATCAACGACCTGGGCTCCTACGTGGCTGCCTCAGTGATAAATGGGAAAGGTGACTGCCGGCTCCTACCACACAGCCGTGACTGCCACCATGGACGAGATGCAGGTGTCCCCACTGCAGGGGTCCCAGCACCGCATGAACCAGAAGAGCCAGCCCACCTTCGGCTTCGCTGTCAACTGGAGTGGGCAATGAACAAGAGGAGGTAGAGACATGCACACAGTTACTGGTGTGATGGAGATGTGCTGGGAGGGCTCCTATGACTGTAGTGTTGGAAGGAGGGATACAGGCTCTTTAGGAAGGACAGGCAGGGGAGACAAGGAGGGGGTGTCACCCTCGATGTCAGTGACAGCTGGAGTGCAGGGAGCTCTGCCTGGGGATGGGTGAGGAGTCAATCAAGGTCTGATGGGTCAGGATTAAAGGGAGGGCAGGGACAGGAGATGTTATTGTGGGGGTCTGCTACAGGCCACCTGACCAGGAAGACGACGAGCAGACGAGGGCCTCTATAGATGGATAGGAGCAGCCTCATGTTCACAGGCCTGGTCCTCCTGGAGGACTTCAACCACCTCAGTATCTCTTGGAGAGGAACATTGCAGGGCACAGGCAATCCAGGAGGTTCCTGGAGTGTGTAGCTGATAACTTCCTTCTCCAAGTGATAGAGGAGCCAACAAGGAGAGGTGCTATGTTGGACCTTGTTCTCCCAACAAGGAGGGGCTGGTGAGGAGTGTGAAGCTCAAGGACAGCCTTGGCTGCAGTGACTGTGAAATGGTGGAGTGCAAGATCCTTCGGGCAGCGAGGAAGGTGCACAGCCAGCTCATTGCCCTGGACTACAGGAGAGCAGACTTTGGTCTCTTCAGGGATCTGCTTGCCAGAGAATCTTGGGAGGGAAAATGGCCCAAGAAAGCTGGTTGGTATTCAAGGATCACTCCTCCAAGGTCAGGAGGAATGCATCCCAACAATGAGGAATTCAGGCAAAAACACCAGGAGGCCTGCATGGGTGAATAAGGAGCTCCTGGACAAGCTCAGACACAAAAGGGAAGCCTACAGAGTGTGGAAGCAAGGGCAGGTAGCCTGCGAGGAATACAGAGAGTGTCTGCGTAGCCAGGGATCGGTTAGGAAGGCCAAAGCCCTGACAGAATTAGATCTATCCAGGGTGTCAACAAGGATATTCTGGGTTTATGTGTTGGTGGTTTAGGTAGTGGGGAAGGGGGCTACAGTGGTGGCCCCCGTGAGAATCTTCTCAAAGCTCCCCCAGCTCCAGCTCGGACCCAACTCTGGCCAAGGCCGAGCCAATTAGCGATACTGGTTGCACCTCTGTGATAAAGTATTTAAGAAGCGAAACCTCAGAGGGGATTGGGACTTGTGAGGAAGTGTCAGAAGAAGGACACCTCTGCGAACACCGAGGTCATTGGAAGAAAGGGGGGGAGGTGTGCTGGAGCAGAGACCCCTCCTGTACCCCACAGTGAGATGGCCAGGGTCACCCTGTCCAGGGTAGAGCAGAGGCCGACCTGTGGCCTGTGGAGGAACCCGCACCGGAGCAGGCGGCTGCGCTTAGAGGAGACCAGGACTCTGAGGGGAGGAGCAGCCTCCACTGCTGCAGTTCAGCACTGGGAGAACAGCAATACGGAGGTGACTCACACCAGAGCAGCAGAGGAAAGGCAGCATCCTGTGGGGAGGACTCATGACAGAGAAAACTCGCGGAGGACTGTCTGTCATGAGAGGGGAGACAATAGGAGCAGGGGGAGAAATGCAGAGGAGTGCTTCCCTCCCAGGAGGAAAGAGGAGTAGACTGATCAAAAACTCCCCATGCACTGTCCCTGCACTGCTGGAGGAGGAGGTAGAGATATCAGGAACAAAACTGATCCTGGGAAGAAGAGAGGGGTTGGGGGGAGATATTTTTAAGATGTGGTAATGCTTCTCACTGTCCCACTCTCTGTATTAAGTAATGTTCTTTTCCTTCCCCTAAGAAGCCTGTCTTTTGCCCATGATCATAATGGATGAGCCACCCCTCCTGTTCTTATATCAATTCCTGAGCCTTTTGTTTTATTTTCTCCTTCCACATGCTGGAGGTAAAAGAGTGAGTGAATGGCTGTGTGGTGCTTGGTTGTCCTCTAGTCTCAAACCACAACAAAGGGCAACAAGAAAAGCTTCTATAATTATGCTGACCATAAAAGGAAGACTAGAAAAAATGTGGGCCCTTGGTGGTTACCTGGTGTATAGAGAAGGCTGAGGTACTCAACAATTTTTTGCCTCAGTCTTCACTGTCAAGGGCTTCAGCCACACTCCTCCCCTGTGAAGTCAGGCTGAGAGTGTTGGAGCTGTTCAGCCTGGAGACAAGAAGGCTCTGAGGGCCTTCCAGTACAGAAAGGGGGCTACAGGAAAGGAGGGGAGGGCGTCTCTATCAGGGAGTGTAGGGATAGAACAAAAACCAATGGTTTTAAACTGAAAGAGGGTAGGTTTAGATTAGATATTAGGAAGAAATCCTTTTACCGTGAGGGTGGTGAGACACTGGCACAGGTTGCCCAGAGAAGCTGTGGCTGCCCCCTCCCTGGCAGTGTTCAAGGCCAGGCTGGATGGGGCTTTGAGCAACCTGGGCGAGTGGAAGGTGTCCCTGCCCATGGCAGGGGGGTGGGACTGGATGATCTTTAAGGTCCCTTCCAACCCAATCCATTCTGTGATTCTATGATCCTGGGGTGCACTGGGGTTAAGGCTGCTTGGCACCCCTATGCACACTGGACATGGCAGTGCGGTGACAAATGGGTGGCAGAAGGGACAACAGCCCCCAAGAGGGGTTTTCCCCAGCTGAACATCTCTTCTGGCATTCACCAACCTGCAGGAGCTCGGGCCTCCCTGTGAGGTGCTGGGGAAGTGTCAGTAGGTGCTTTGGGGAGTGTTTGCCTGCAACCACCCTCTCATACAGCTGACAACTGCAAATTTGGAACCACCCAGATTGTGCAATGTCCTGGCATGAGCTGTAACCCACAGCCCTGGCAGCAATAAAAAGGCGAGAGAGCAGGCACATCCTCAGAGCCCTGCGAGGAGCACATCCCCAGGTACGCCAGCTGTCTGCCCCCTGCAGAGATGGTGCGAGTGACTCCCTTCCTCCTGGTGCTCAGCCTGGCCCTGGTGGCTCAGGGCCTCTCTGACAGAAAGGTAACGGCAGGTCTGGGATGCATGGGGCAGGGCGTCTGCTGCTCCAGGTGTGCCTGCTCCTGTCACCTTGCCTGTGCCTGGCCTGTGCTGCAGCACCAACTCAGTTCCCTCCGTTCCAGTGCGTGCTGACCGGGCAATGGAAAAACGACCTGGGCTCCAACATGACCATTGGGGAATTGCAAGGAAATGGAGCCTTCAGTGGCACCTACCTAATGGCCATTTCAATGAGCCTGAAGAAGATCTTGGGGTCTCAGCAACACACAAACCAGCCCACCTTTGGCTTCACTGTCAACTGGACCTTTACAAGTCCTTCTCCTTTCCAAGCCTCTGCACTGTCCCCAGAACTGCCTTGCCGTCCTTGTGCTTTCTCCAGGTGCCCTGGATCTTCCTGTGACATCTCTAGTTTTCCTTTGCACCTCCTGCTGTGTGCCCAGAGCTCCCCTGCCCTCCCTGTGATGTCCCTGGTGCTTTCTGCCCTTCCCTGCAGTACCCTTGATGATCTCTTGTGGTGTCTCCAGTGCTCCCCCATCCCCTTGGGTGTCCCTGATGTTTCCTTCCCCTGTTCTTGACCCTGGAGCTCTTTGGCTGGTGTCACCTCCCAGTCCCAGGGCACAGAGGATGTTCCTCCACCTTTCTCCTTGGCCCAGCTCTGGCTGCAGCCCTGCTGAGCATGGACCATCATCCTGGGAGGATGGAGGAGCTCCTTGGCCATACCAGTGTGCAATGTTTGTCACCGAGGGGGCTGCCAGCTGTGGCTGTGCTGTCCCTGGAGGTAATGTTGGTCACCTTCCCCTGATATGTGGGGTGCCCAGCACCCCCAGCTCTGCCCTGCCCTGCCCTGCCCCAGGAGGGATAGGTGCTGGCGCAGATGGTGCCCATGGCGTGCAGAGGGTCCGTGCGGAGGGGCCATGCCATCCCCAGTCACGCGGGGCATATGTCCCACTGCCCAGGCAGGTTGGAGTGGTGTCGTGGCTTGGTGCTGCCCAAATCATCTCACCTTGTCCCCAGCGTGACCTGCGGCATCTGTGGAGGAACAAACTGGGCTCCAACATGACACTCATTGTGGTAGTGCAATTCTTGCCCCTCCCCGCCATGTTGGGCTACTTGGTGCTGGGTGTGATTCCACCCACATCCCCCAAGCTATACACCAATCTGTGGAGATAAGGACTGATAACGTTAACGAGCCTGGCTCCTGTCCCTCCTGATTGCTCGGAAATGGTTATAACTGCCCATCATCTCCTCAGGGCCTGTCACACCTGTGCCTGGGATGTGGTCAAATGGGAACAGTAACAGAGCGGCACATTCATCAAATTCTTGTGCAACTTCCGGAAGGCAGCAGAAGGTATTTAGACGAAAGTGAATTATCTTGGACCCTATAAACTGCAAGCACAAGGGAGACCCTTTGAGCTCTTCTGGATCACAGGGCGCCTGTGACCAGCATCTCCCCTGAACTGGGACGCCTCTCAGGTACCCAACCCCTTAAATTGTCATCTGCTCCAGATGGAAGGCCAGGGCAAAGTCCACCTGCTGGAGTCTTAATTATCGCCTGTTGAGGAATGCCAAGGCATTGTGAGTATTTGCTCTAAACTTGAGAGGGAAATTTTTCTTTGAGCTAGCTTCTCTTCCACCTGTTCTTTCTCTGTTTGTTGGTGTGTGAGTACCTACTTTATTCCACTGGATCCAGATACTTTTGTTTCTGTGTGTGTGTGTTTGTACGTTTTGTGTGTGTGTTTGTATGTTTTGTGTATGTGCATGTATATATGTATAAATTAAGGTACTGTTAAGTTAGTATGAATCTTGTCATTTTAGAATCTGTAAATTAGTCGCTTTTACTTCTTTCAACACTTCTGGATTATTTTGTATTGATAAATTGCTGTTAGTTATTAATAAAACTAGATTTCCTACTAAATCATCACCGTGTCAATACTTTCATCTGTGACACTCATTTTCCCAACCTATTTTCCCTCCTCATTCAGGAAGCACTGGCCCAATAAAGTCGCTAGTGGTGTCTCTAGAGATGGGGCAGGAGGTGGAGCCCCTGTTCCCCAAACTGTCCCTGGACACGCAGGGGACAGACAGATGTGTTGTAGAAGTATAAACGAACAAAAATTTATTAAAAGACAAACCAGCAATGTTTCTCATACAATATGCTGCTCAGAATCTAAGTTTTGTTTTATAAGCAGGTTCACCATTGCTATAAACAAATTTACAGTTGCTTAGCTCTAGGATAGAACTACTGGATTGTTCAGATTTCTGACCAACAGGATGTTGATCTGAAACCATGGTCTACAAAGTACCAATTTCTGTGTCCTTTAGGTGAATTTAGCTCATTCTGATATGAAAACCACACCTCTCTAAGCTGAAGTTACCCATCTCTATGAAATCCTTCACCCTTTGAGCATGCATATACTGTGGTAGTGAGTATATTACAGGTAGATACTGTGACTTTAAATCAAAGTGAGGAATAAATCTAGCCAATAGATGATATTGTGATAAAATACTAACCAGCTGTGATGTATAGAAGAGTGCACTTGTGTGTTCAGGATCAAATAAATATGGTGTGTCATTGTAACTGGGTGTGCTGTCCACTTTGTATGAAGAGCACTCTTTTCTGCATGGAACTGTAAAAAATACAAGTATCTTGACTCCCCGTGTTAATCGGCTCTTTGCACACCAAGTGAAGATCTCTGGTTTTGTGACAACATTCTGGTGACCTCGATGGGACAGCCATCATGCCGTGCCTGGATTCTCTTGCCACACCTGACAGCAGAGAATAGGACTGGACAGAACTTCAGTGCACACTTACTTGTTGTTTGGGGGTCTCTCTGCGCCCCCTTCAGTATTGGGCAGTGAGTGACTCAAAGCTGCAACACTGAAGAGATGTTTGTGAATATTATCTTATTTAAATTTACTTCCACAGAAAATTAGTAAGTATTTCTTGCATGCAGACACTGGCAAGGGATGTCTTAATAGACCAATGGTGTCAGAGCTGAGTGTGTGCTGGGGTAGGCTGTGGAGGGGGTCACAACTGTATTTGGATAGGATGGGGTCCTGCTAATCCCTGATTCCTTGCTGTAGCCCTTTGGGGTGTATTTTGAAAAACGAATAAGTTTGGTGGGGACCCAGTGACTAAAGAGAAAATGAGAAATTGTAACCAATGGTGCCCAAATTATAAATTGGATAATGGTGAAAAATGGCCAGAGAATGGATCTTTACAATTTAGTGCAATATTGCAACTGTTGTTATTTTGCCATTGACTGGCGAAATGGGATGAGGTTCCATATTTTAATGCATTTATGACTTTATATAGGGAATGAGATATTCAGAAGAAATGTAAATTAGGGAACATGGTTATGCCATGTTTAGATCAAAAGGAGGTTAAGCAAGGAGTAATTTGTTTGGGGTGGAAGAACAGAAAAATGTACAAATGTTGGTCCCTTTTTCCCTGTCTCCATACAATATGGAGGAAAGTAAGATAGAGAGAAAACAGGAAAGTGAGGAAAATTAAAAAACACATGGGAAGCAAAGGGTTTAGTCCTATTGCCAGTCATACTAGGGGACAGACCCAGCCAATAATCAAGGCAACTTTTAGACAAGCAGCGGGTGCCGATGACACAGTGATCTTTATATATGTGCCATTCACTACCTCTGATTCCTCGAACAGGAAACAAATGTTGGGACTTATAGGGAAAAACCTGAAGGAATGCATCAGCTCTTGGAAACTGTCATGCTGACTCACAACCCAAATTGGTGCAATAGGTAGGCATTATTGAATACCTTCCTTTCAGCAGAAGAAAAAGGAATTATTTTAGAAAAGGCTGGGGCAGAAGAGAAAAAAAGAAACAGAACCAGAAACCCTCATCAGTATTTACCCCCGAAGGAGGATCCTGATTGGAACCTGAATATGGTATATAGGAAGAAGGAATTAAAACAACATCAGCAACTGATATTTTATGGAATCCAGCATGGGGACCCAAAGCCAAAAAAAATATCTAAATTGTATGAGGTCAAACAAGGACATGATGAAAATCTCTCTGATTTTTATGAAAGGCTATGTAAAACAGACAAGAAATGGACAGACTTAAACACAGAGGCTGATACGAACCACATGTTATGTATGAGCCAAGCATCGCAGGATATTAGAAGGAAGTTGTAAAGGTGGATGGGGCAGAGGGAATGTCCATTTCACAGTTAGCTGAGATTGCTTATATATAGGGAGGAAAGGAGAGAAAGAAAGGGTCAGGCAAAAGTGAAGATACAGGCTTCCCTCCTGGCTGCAGCAGTATAGATAGATGATGGGGAGGAACTTGCTGGAGGGAGTGAAAAGGTAGAAATCAAAATGAAAAGGGTCCAGAAATGCAAAACCTTCCTTTAAATCCTAATCAGCTTGCTATATGCAGGCAACAAGGACATTGGAAGAACGAGTGTCGCTCAGGAGGGAGGAATTCCAGAAGATGTTCTTGTACTGGTCCTATGGGGGTCAGACTGAATAAAGCAAACTGGAATGGCAGGGATAGGGAAGTATATAGAAGCCTTCTCAACTGACTCTGTTAATCCCTGTCAAAATAGGAAATTAAACAATAGATTTTTGAATGGATAGTGGAGTAAAGCATTCAGTAGTAACCAGCTGTAAAGGACCACTTAGTAAAATTATAATACCAGTTGTTGGGGCAACAGGAAAAAGAACTTTGGGGCCATTTTTGCAACCTATGGAATGTACAATTGGAGATACTAAATTGACTCATAAATTTCTATATATGCCAGAATGCCCCCTCTCTTTGTTAAGATGAGATTTAGTATGCAAATTAAATACTCAAGTAACTTTTTCTGAGAATTCTGTACAGCTACATATTGCTAAAGAAACAGCGTGAAAGGCTCTGGTCTGCTTGCTGACAAGACTTCAGGAGAACCTGAAAACAGTATCCCAGATATGATACAGAATGTGGTAATCCCTCTGGTGTGGGCATCAAAGAAACCAAGCAAAGCAAAGGATGTAACCCCGATTAAAACAGAACTGAAGCCAGGAGTTAAACTGGTCAGGGTAAATCAATACCCCATTAGATTGGAGGCACAAAAAGGACTAGAACCCCTGGTAAATATTTTTATGCACTATGGACTGCTTAGAGAATGTCAGTCTGAGTTTACTCTCCCACCTTAGTGGTAAGGAAGCCCCACATTCAAAAATAGATTGGCTCAGGATTTAAGAGCTATAAATCGCATATCCTACTGTAGCACATCCTTAGACCCTGCTAGCTGCTGTACCTAAATCTAACACTTATTTTACTGGTTTGTACTAAAGGATGGCTTCTTTTGTATCCCAGTGGCCAAGCAATCTTCACTTTTGAATGAGAAAGCCCCTCAACAGGAAGAAAAGTGCAATTTTGCTGGATAGTACTCCCGCAAGGATTTAAAAACAGTCCTACTCTATTCGGTACCGTATTGCCAACAGAGTTCAAACAATGGCAAGGTAACAACGATCATGTTATTTTACTGCAATATGTAGATGATTTGTTAATAGGAGCTGACATAGAAGAGGACTGCGTAGAGGCCATGATCAGTCTACTGAATTATTTGGGACTAGCAGGGTACAGAGTTTCCCAGAAAAAGGCACAAATAGCAAAAGAAAAAGTACAACACTTGGGCTTCGAGGTGTCAAAAGGACAAAGAGAACTTGTCCTAGAAATGCAAGTTTCAAAATTGTGTCAGGAAACAGCTAAAATAAATAGATGTTTTACCCATTGCGCTGATGAGAATTAGAATTACCCCTTGGGCTAGAGAAGGGGTGAATCCTTTTGAAATACTGTATGGAAAACCATACCTGGTCAACACTATAGGAGATAGAATTGACCAAATGCATGTGAGAAGGGAATAAATGTCAAAAAATTATTTGCTGTCTCTTTTGCGCATGTTATCCTTTCTGCGTAGGTATCTCAGTCAATGAGCCCTTCTACATCTGGACTCCCCAGTACGTAATTTCTGACCTGGGGACTTGGTGTACATATGATCTTAGAACCATTAACTAAAAAGTGGAAAGTACCATACATGATACTATTAACCAACTATACTGTGTTGAATATAGGAGGAATCAGTTTCTGGATCCACCATATACAAGTGGAGCAAGCTTATCTGTCAGAATCTAGAGAGAAAGAAAAATTAAAAGTGACAGCTGTGAGACCAATCAAATTCTATTCTTCTTCCAAGATACAGAATCTACTCTGTTCTTTCAGAAATGTGATCAAGCACAGAATGTATGAGAAAATCTAGCCAGATATACTGTTAACATATATTCTTTTTGCTTAACTGGAAGAATTTCAGTACAAGATGAGACTTATGAGAGCTTGGATAAACTTCACAAGCCTCAAAGCAGCGAATTGTTGTAAAAGGACAAAACAGCAAAAATTGATCAAAAGACAAACCAGCAATGTTTCTCATACAATATGCTACACAATATCTAAGTTTTGCTTTATAAGCAGGTTCACCATTGCTATAAACAAATTTACAGTTGCTTAGCTCTAGGATAGAACTACTGGATTGTTCAGATTTCTGACCAACAGGATGTTGATCTGAAACCATGGTCTACAAAGTACCAATTTCTGTGTCCTTTAGGTGAACTTAGCTCATTCTGATATGAAAACCACACCTCTCTAAGCTGAAGTTACCCATCTCTTTATTAAATCCTTCACCTTTGAGCATGCGTATACTGTGGTAGATAACTGTGACTTTAAATGAAAGTAAGGAATAAAACTAGCCAATGATTTTGTGATAAAATACCAACCAGTTGTGATGTATAGAGGAGTGCGCTACTGTGTTCAGGATCAAATAAATATGGTGTGTCTTTGTAACAGGGTGTGCTGTCCACTGTGTATGAAGAGCACTCTTTTCTGCATGGAACTGTAATAAATACAAGTATTTTGACTCCATGTGTTAATCGGCTCTTTGCACACCAAGTGAAGATCTCTGGTTTTGTGACAACAGAAAAATGGGGAGTTGTGAGGACAGGGTGAGGGTAGGTGTGTGGGCACGGCTGGCCATCTGCAGTGGCTAGAGGGATCTGGGAGACAGAGGAAGCAAACCTGCCCTGACAGCAACAGGAAACAT